ATTTGAGCCTGCATGGATTCAGCCACCAATGGTGACACATGCTGTGCTCCTCGGCATCATCCACACGTCTGAGTTGATTTGTCCAGTCAGAGCTGAGGCCCCACACGGAGAATGCACGTTTTTGTCTCTGTGCCACTTTTCTCCCGCTCACCCTCTGACCTTTAAATAGTAGTTCCAGGTTCATGCAAAGACCACTAAGTACACAGAGCTGACCATGCTGTCACTATCCACGTTCTAGCATGTAGAAGGTGATGTCCCACCAAAGGCAGAGAAGGGATATAGGAAGCCAGAAGATGGGGTAAGATAGGCCCTTCTCACCTGCCAGGAGTATCCACTGTTGGCTTCCTGTTCATCTTCTGTGATCCGGCCCTCATAGGGGCCAAAGTGCAGACCCAACGGCAGATCGGATGCCTCATTCCATACTCCAAGCCCGGCCTCAGGGATGCCCGATGGCCCAATTCTCAGCCCAGGGGGCAAAGTGAGGGCTGAGCGGTCGGGATGCCCCTTGTCCACTACAGTGTCCTTTACAAATGTAGGGGGTCCATGAGCCGGACAGCTGTCGATGAAGATGTTCTGGCATTTCTCACAATCTGGAGGCGAGAGCAGCAGGGATTTGGAAAAGTATAGTGCATGTTCCTGGATATAAAGAGCTTCAGAATGAGCCCAGCAGTTACATAATTTAGCCTCAATCCTGTATTCCAAGCCACCAGAGTAAAGGAATGACTTGGGGTCAAACAACAAGAGAAAATTATTGTACCGGGACATAGCCTTCTCCATGAGTGGGCCAAAAGGGTCACTTACACAGGTAGTCATCATCCTGAGGCTCATCGACCTCTTTGTATGCATGACCCTTCCTTTCTCGCAGGCTATACGTCTTCACTTCAATCTCCTTTCTCTTGAGTTCTACATTGGAGAAGAGTAATTGAGTGAAGTTAGGAGTCTGGAGTGTTTGTTCCTGTTTTGTCAGAAAATGTGAAATCTCTTACCATCAAATTATCGTCTATCCTTCT